ACCAACCCTATGGCAAAAAAAGTCAATTTTGCTTCTTTACAGAAGGGATAGTATTCCTGTGGTCCAACCTGGTAACTACTGCTCAAGTTAGCTTACAGCAAATTAGGAAGTCGGGGCAAGTCATTCCATGAATTACCTTCTCTAGAATGCTTATTTGATAGAAAGTTAAACAGACACTTTCTGCTAATTATTTGTGCCCTTTTATTTATTAAATAAAAAAACTATTTCCATGTTCCCCTCAAAAACCATATTCCTGTATATAACAATTTCCACAATCACATTTATTATAATTACTGTATAAAACAAATTGTCCATGAACAAAGCAAAAGGTATTGTATAGACATTTCTATAGTTTATGCTTTTCCAAGTTATAAAAAAAAGTTACATTGAAAAGGCAAGAGAACCAATGCTCACTCTTCACTCTTTTTGTGTTTGGTCTCAGGTCTTTGCTCCCAAACAGTTTGTTGTGAAAAACACCATCCATGTCTGCTGCTAGTCTATCAGAGTGCACCCAATATATTGCATATCCAAAATAAAGAAACTGCTTATTTTATTAAAGAAATTTTGTATGAGTAAAGGTTCTGTAAAGGTTATGTCCGGGCTTCTGTGAAGCGTAGTTCAGGACCCTATGCAGACAGTATAATCTGGAAGTAAGTAGAGAAGGACATTGGGGAAAAGACGTAGAGGATCAGGAGGGGTTGACAGACAGGAGGGCGTGATGATGATGATGTGGTGTTCAGGGGGCGTGGCGAAGGCAAACAAGCCCAAACAGTCCAAGGGGGAAATCCGGGGTGCAGTTCAGGGTCCGGGAACCAGGGGATCCGTCTGAGACAAACAAGGTTAAAAACCGGAATGGGATCAGGAACAGGGAATAAAGCCAGGGTAACGAGGCCAGGCACTCCGAGCCCCAGACTCAGATTGTCAGGACACCGTGATGAAGCTCGTGCCGTCGGGTGTCTCCTGGACCGCTGATAGGCGGACTTCTGGGCATCCATCTCCCAGTGCTAAGGCAGGAATAGTGAGAGTGCCCAGCTTAAATAATGACGGACAAACGGGGCAGGTGCACGAAATGAGCAAATACGAAAGGGTCGGAGCGACTTTAAGAGGAGGGATGATGATTGTGACAAGTTCCTGTAGTGTTCCTGTATTTTCCCCCTTTTCTACCAGAACTAGAATCCTGTTGTATTTTACGTCCTCTGTGCTGGTACAGTAAGTGTCAACCTTCCTCTGAACCCTGGTTCTTTCTCTCCCCCCCACAAAAAAACCACTATTAAAAACAATTAGACTGCTCCTGATCTGGGCTCGATATTTAATGCGTTGCAGGTAAAAAGAAGACCAGATTGCTTATTATTTAATTTGCATTATGTAGAAATCCCTGGCCAGGTCTGCTGGAGTAAAATTAAAACCTCCAGCTAGACACTTATTTTAGTGCCAATTGTTTTAGTGGATATTTCCACTTTATATATTTTCTGTTTAAATTCCAATGGAATTCAGCCACAGACTTTGTGAGATCAAATATGAATGGACTTCTTGCTGACATCATACCAGGATGAAGTCACATGGTTTATTATTCATGTGAAGGCTTCTGTAAAACTGCAGCAGAAAGAAGTTCAGTGAGTACAGAAATCAATTTGTTACATCTGAATCTCAGTATAAGTGGCATTTAGGCTATTCTTGTCACAACAAAAATGGAAATTGTTTGACAGTATGTCTGCTGCAGTATCCACAGAAAATAAAACATTATTTTTGGTTTGCATGATTGATTACATAAACACCTAACAATGTGTTGACGAGCTGTGTCTCCTCTAAGTGTGCATCATCATTTTCTTCGCACTGTAGAGTGATAAAAAAACAAGCAAGGTCAGGGAACTGCATGTTAATTGTAATGCATCTGCAATTATTTTATTAGTTTGGATAGTTATTTTTCTTATAATTTCTGTCATATTGTTAATGAAAAAATGCATTTGGGAAGCCTATTGATAAGACCTTCATTAAGGTTGCTCAAATCAATCAACAAACAGTATCTTTACAGTAGTAGAGGATGACTGGTTTTCTGCACACCCATATTTTGAAATATCCAGGATATGAACCTTAGCGAACCTTTTCCAAAGAGAGTGGCATGCATTCTACTACAAACCTCTGCAGTAGTCATGGGATACATGATGCATTTATGTACCTGGATGTTGAGTAATTTGAGAGGGTGCTCAATAGTTAAAACTACTTCTCCCAGTAGTTAACTTCCAACTACACAGCAAAGGAACTACCCTGGTTAAAGTCAGTAATGATCTTCTTAAGGTTTCTTACTTTCTATCCTTAATATCCTTGACCTCAGTGTTGCTTTTCACACTGTTAACCAGCACATCTTACTTTCTCACTGTGTTTGGAGTTTCTGACATTGATCTGAAGTAGTTCAAGTCTTACCTTGCTGATCGCTGATACTTGGTCTGTCTTGGGGGTTTCAATTCTGAAGCTGGACTCAGTTCTGAGCTGCTGTCATCCTACTCCCCACATCGCAACCTTTGCTCTTCTGATTCTGGTCCTGTCTGTCCCCCAAGCCCATCTACATATTGTGGGTGACAGGGCCTTCTCCTGCTACTGTACAGTATATGCCACAGAGCTCTGTAAATCTATCCCTAAGGATATCAGAGAGTCACCTTTCCTGAGCACTTTCAAATGAAGACTCAAAACTTTTATTTAAGCTTTTATGTATAACTGGTTCTGTTTCTGCCCCCATGAGCACATGTGTTTGTTTCTATATTGTATGAGTGTGTGCACACAGCACATCCAAAATATCTCCTCAGGATTAAAGCATTAAAATCTTTTATGAGTTAAATGGCAAAACTAATAAATGCAAAGGATTACTCACATAACGTCTTTTCTAAGTTTCTCTTGAACACATGTCTTGTAGCCATATTTTGAATATTCTATATTCCTTGATCAGGTTTCCTTCCAGGTTGCCCCTGATTCCAAAAGAGGCAGCTGTAATTTCTGGCATTTCTGGAAAAAAACAATGAAAGAAAAAAATAGATCAAAGAATACTGGAGGGAATACTTCAGCCATCCCCTGCTATTAAATGTTCCCTCATTAAGCAGACTGTACTTTCTTTGCAATAGATAATTTAAACAAAGTTGTGAATCAAGTGAAAATGCCAGTAATGGGGGATTCATGAAGATTAAGCTCTTGGGGTAACTGGGAAACGTACAGAGGCAGTGTAGCACTTTTCCTCCACAGAACTGCGCTGTGCTTTTTTGCAGTCACCTACTGTAAATTGTGCAGCACAGCCTGTGTTATCGGTCCCTCACCGAAAGTTACCCTCTGTTCCTCTCTTGTAACAACAATCTAAAAAAATCAATTTCAGTGTTTCCTTCCAAAAGACGTTCCTATCAGGTGTGTTCATAGCTCAAGGTTAATGTCTGAAAGGCAACATCTCTCTCACAGCTACCTTTATGATCCTGCTGGCACTGGGCCTTTGTTTAGCTCAAGAAGAATGGATTGCAAAATGGTACTGCAATTGCAAAAACATCAACACTGACTCAGCTGTTTTCCAAATTAAGTCAATAATGAAGTATGATGATATTGAGATACTTTACATTTGGTCATAGTTCTTTACATATGTGAAAGAAAAACGAACAAGAACTAACAAAAATTCACTGTTTAAACTAAATGACATAGGGACTGATTCACTAAGAAAATAAGCCATTTTTTATAATTACCCAAATCATGAGGTACTGTTCCCAAAATTCAATTTTTTTGAGAAATTGTCAGTATCCAGTATTTGTTTCTTTAAACCTATATAAACCTTATCTCAGCTGAGCTTTTTCAGATGCACAATTTTCACATCTCTTGTTTGCTCTGTTTCTTTTTGTCTGCCTTGGCAGGTGACAGGTACGTTCAGAATGCAGTATCTCACCCTTAATTGCTGTTCTTGCTCCTACATGACCTGAATTTAAATTGAAGCTATTTTGACACTTTGAATTTATTTTCTAAAAAATCTTTGACATTCCATGTTCGGCTATGTCTGATATCTGAGAGCTCAAAAGCAACAAATACTTTTTTTCTAGTACACAGTTCAGTGACCAGAATATATAGATTTACTGTTTGCACCAGGCAGTGTGTTTCAAAATACATTTCTGCCCGAGCATTTTATAGATAGATTATAGCACATCAAATTGGTAGCTTTGCGTATCAAATTCTTAGCATTCTGTAATGATTTGTTTGCAGACTTACAGTATAAGGTATTGGGAAGGAAACGCTCAAACAAGGTGTAAGAGGAAGAATGTCTTCTTTGTGCAGCTTCTTTATCGTTAAAGAAATCCACTGTATCCCTTTCATTCCTGTAGACCTTTGATAAGCGCTGTGAAACAAGCTTCTCTTTATATTTCCCTAATAAGCGTAAATACTGAACACCATCATCCTTCCACAGAGTAATTAAATCTATCAGGAGCAAACAGAATGCACTGAAAATGTCTTGGGATACTAAGGAATTTACAAAAGAACAATGAGCACTCTGTGACAGAACCAGCACTTGTGGATTTAAATTTTGAAAACATTTGCAAATCAGATTAGCAGGCTGCCACAGAGAGAAGTGCTGCACTCTCTCTAGCGCCTGCCCTGGCTGGGTTTCCTGCATTGCAGACGCTACGATGTGGAACCACTGATCTGGGGGAACTGACAAGGTGGTTTAAGAAGCAAAAGTTTCTCCTGCTATTCTGAAGCGGGGCGGGTGGTAAGCGTTTACAATCCTGTTGGAAGTAGTATAGTTGCCAAAGCTATAAATCCCGCATTTTTGTTTGTTTTCGAAATTATGTTGTATTTGTAGATCAGAAAACTAAAACCCCATACATGCTGGAACAAGATATTTTGATGGAGCTCTTTGTTATTTTCCCCTGACCTCTATCTTCTGTTCAGAAAGAGCCGATATTTGCTTCTTGTGCAGCAGATAACCCTTTGTGAAGCAACATTTGGAATCCAACCTACTTTTTATCTTTTTCCTTTCACAGACACATAGAGAACTGGACGGGACTTCAAACCCTCAATGCTGTGGACATGGAGCTGTACACAGGACTGCAGAGGCTGTGAGTGTCGATTGTCCAGGCTGCATTACACAACATCCCCAGCTGTAATAAGTGTTTCTTACACTTCTTACAAGTGACAGGTCTTCTGTTTGATGTTTTGTGTACCAAGATCAAGGAGCAGAACTACAATTCCTCATGGACACCGAGTTCGGTGACCATAACATATAGGTGTGACAGTTACTCTTTACCACAGCCAGAAAATAAAGCATATAACAGCTAAAACCTAGGAAGAATAGGCAGAATATAATGTATTATGACATGAAATTTCCCTATGTATCAGGTGAAGAAAAGTAGAAGTTACTTGTCCAGTCAGAGACAGGTAAGATTTTGTCGCCAGCTCATTTTTAAAACCACTGGCAGGATTTAACTATAACCTGGCTTCAAAATCTCAAAATGTCATGAACAGTCCCAACCTCCAATGTGAAATTAAGTTTTCTTAAAAGGCGAATTGAAAGCTTCACTCTTCACCACCCAAGCTCTCTATCACTCCCCCAGAACAGTATCATCCTTACCCGGCAGGATGCTAAAACCCTTCCATTTCAGACAAAGCCAGGCTCTTGATTTGTGATTCCAGCCTGGTACTTTGTGCACATGGTCGTTCTCCTGATCCTATCTACATAATCCCTCATCAGTGAGGCAGCACGTCACCTTCAAAGTCACATTCAGCTCGTCTATCCCTCTTCCTCGCTTGTGCCTTGAGCCATGCCATCTGAAGCCACAAAAGCCAGAGCATCTCTGACTGCTACTGTATACTGTTCTCATCCACCTGAACATCAGTCAAGGGGCCGCGACAAGACTAGGTACTAATTCCCAGAATCATCAGGAAGTGAGCTCTGTGCACATATTGTACCTAGAAAAACAAGCAACACCAAACAAGTACCCTTTTTGAAACAACTGCTCACCTGGGTCTGCAGTATAAACAGCATTCTGCAGCAAGCAGTAAACGTCTGTAACTGGCATTGATACACAGCTGCTGCAGATGTTTCTGTGTTTACGCCTGAGATGTTTCGGGTTTCTCATTCTTTCCCTGGTAAAGCTGCTCATTTTGATGGGGGGGAGGAGGGGAGTGTGTGTCGTTATTTTGCAGACTACTCCAGGCACACATTAGCATCTGAACATTTCTGTGTAGATTCACGATCAAGGAGAATGACCTATGGAGGTCTGTGGAAAGGCAGCAGAGTTTCTAATGCAAATCAGTGTGCTGCTGTCTTACAGCTGCTTACAAATGAAGTGGGAATCTCTACAGTGTATCAGAATTATAGAAATGTAGATTTTGAAATTTTAAGTTTTTGATAAAGGTATACATTTTGATTGTTGCTGCAGTTTCTTCAAATAATATCCTAAAGTTTTCCTTTCGTGGTCCTCATCCTGATGAGGTTTTGAACTTGTCATGATTTATTCCATCTGTTTTTAGCTTGTACTTTCCTTAAGGCTGCCACCTGTCTGTTGTCATTCATAGTTGCCAGCAAAATGCCCCACTCCAGACTTGACGTGATGGAAACCTCTTTAGATGTTATTTCTCCAGCAGCTCTAAGTGACGTCACACATAACCCACCTCTGGGGCACAACAGCTGCCCTTTCACCTTTTCACCAGCTTTGGAAGATACAGATATATGTTGTTAAAATCATACAATGCAGCAGTTAGACTTTATGTGGAAAATTGTGTCCATTTTCTATTTTTTTGGTCAGATCACAAAATATATTGTTGCTCTAGAGATTGAACAAAGAGAGCTCTCAAGCCAGCACGTAAGGAAATCAAACATTTCTAACTGGGATCGTGAAGATTACACTGTGACTTGATTCTGAAAGGTACAGTATCGAGCAAGTTAGTTCAGAGGACTTATTTAAAGTCAGCAGTGATGAAAGGAATGGAAACAGAAATTAAATTTATAAAGATTCAGGACAGAAAAGAGGAACGATTTCTTTACACAAAGAATCATGGGGATCTGGAGACTGATAAAGCACTTGGATCATTACAGTACCTGTAGGACTCGAGGGATGGGGATAGGGCAGATTGTCTCCTCTTGTGGGTAGCTTTTTACATTCCATTATTTTTTGCATCCCCTTTCTCAGTCACTGACCACCACCCAAACATGACTTGCTGTCTGATATTGCATAAATCTCAGCTCTGTAACCTCTGTATTTAAATTGTACAGCAGGACAGTCTAGCTTTTGAAAACAAGCGACCCAATAAAGGTAGCTTTTGATCAAATCTCCATCTTACTGATGTTTTCAGAAAAGGTTGGCTTGATGATGAGATTAGGACACTTTTTATCTTTTCATGTCCCCAAACACTTTAGCTTTTACTGACAAATCTATTATCTTACCTGTAGATCTCAGCTGTCAAATTCAGTTAAAGTAGAAAAAAACGTTCTATGGCATTGTTATATCCACACAGTCCTGCTGCCAAGGTCCGTGCTTTGATCTAAATGAGATCTTTATTAGGACCTCTTTCAGATCAATCAGGCTGCAACAGCAGTGTAGCTTTCATTTGCAGGATCTGAGTGTGCTCTGTTGTGTGGGAGGGCCTTTTCTCTTCGCCTCTGTGGAAATGCATGTTCCCAAGGACACGACAGTACATGTTCAGTGTTGAGATTCTGCTTTCAGCCATTATTTTTTACAATTTCCTGTTTATTTTATGGTGCTTTTGGCAAGAGGTGAAAAGTAAAAAACGTAATTTCACACGATAGTGACAGATAGAGAAAGTATGAAAGCACATATGTATATTCCCGACTGAACTGCTTTGATATTAACATGGTTCCCCAGTCGTGCGCATGTCTGGGGATGTTTGTTTGTCATTCATGAGTATTAATTTAACAGCAGTATGTGCTTCTGTCTCTTTCAGAACAATCATGAACTGCAGCCTCCGGGTCATACTGCCAAGAGCTTTTGCCAAAAACCCTCATCTGCGTTACATGTAAGTGAGAGGTGGTCCTTTCTTTGCAGATTCAGATGTTACCTTAATAGAAACAAAAATGTTTGGAAATGAAGGAGGTCATTAACATTGATCAGTGATCTAAACTGGTAAGAGCAGTGGTTCTACAGATTCATGTGGCACTCCACTAGTCCCACCAACCAGCTGGATCATTCCCCAATCAACATGAAAGATCCTCACAACAACACTGAGGTGCATCTGAATGTTGATTTAAACTTTAGAGGAATTCAAAAGGAGTAGTTTACCTCTGAGAAGTGAGAAGAGGAGTGCTACCTTCCCAGGTTAAGTTACAGTATTTGCTGGGCAGAATCAGCAGATAGAAGCAAAATATCAAGAATGTAAGTTCATTCCTACAGTATGAATATCTTGCATCTGAGGAAAAAAAAACAATGATTGTAAACAACTGGATAGCTAATAGCATTTCTTAAATGTAATTTGCAAGGAAAATTGTTGAATTCTCTAGTAATGCTCTATATTTAAATGGAAAATTAACTGAACATGACCAGAGTTTCATTTAGATCACAAGACGGTTGGGATATTAATAGCTGCTCTTCTCACTGATAAATAAATATTATGTCTTTGTTTTATATCCTCGTTATTTCAATGGACATGATTAATTGTGATAAACTGCCTTAAAAGCTGTGAGCTAGAGGGATGTGTGGGAGGCATTTTATCTTGCCCAAACTAAAGAAAATTCAAGAGATCCCAGTGCTGTTGTTAAGGACTATAATGGGAAAAAATACCTTTGAGAACACAAATACAAAGTTCTTTGTGATAATGTCTTGTTTGTTTTATTATATAATAGCATTTTTTTGAAAAACCCAAAGATGCAGTGTCCTTGATTTGTTTGCTGTTAGTTACTGGCACACTATTCACATAACACTGTTGATTACCTGATCCTCTCTTCACTCCACAACATTGAATTCAAGTTATCTGTAATGGAAGGTACCCATCAGAACTCACGTATCTGCCTGTAATAAATTGGTTTTGAGCCTTCATTTCTGTACCATACAAATGAAAGAGAGAGAGACAGATCTTCTTTTTAAATAAACTTTAAAGAGACAAGTAGAGGAAAAAAAACAAAATATTGAATTTTTTTGACACAGGACAAGTTTCTATGTTTGAAAGGCCATTATTTTCCAGTTCCTGAATAATAAAAAGCACAAAAATGAATCATGGACGTCAACCTTTAATCAATAAACATGTTCATGAGTCTGTAAACAGGGTATACTGTTGCTCATTGTTGGGCATGCGGGATTCAAAGAGTCTTTTAACTTCCATCATTTTGGAACTGAAGTTGGCTCAGTGATGGGGTACTGTGTGTGTTCTCACCCTGAGGAAGAGGTGAGAATGATCTCAATTATGGCTACGATGATGAGCTGACCTGGAGCAACTCATCATCATTTAATGAAATGGGAAAAAAGTCATTAGAGCCCTGTTTTCACTTTAGTCACAAATAGAACAAAGATGGGTTATGTGTTGGGATGGGACTGTAGAGTAATGGGTCATTTTGGGGTAGTAACGGATTACTGATTAGTAGACAGCAAGAAGACATGGATCTTGTTTCCACTGACTTTTCGCAAACAGTGATGATACAAGAAAGAAAAGGAAAACACAAGACTATTTTTCACATGATGTCAATGGTCATAATGCAGTGATTTTTTTTTCTGTGTGGCTCCCACAGAACTGCACATTCATGGTTTACTGGTTCAGACTCTAAACTATAACCACATTGGTGAAACCTAAAATGGTGAATTGTAACCAACTGAGCCCTCAAGATATTCTGAAGTATTCACAAAAGACATTTCTAAATATAGTCTTGCAAACACCTAGCCTTCTACTGTCTGCTTCTAGTCTTAAATTTGTAACCAGGTTCTCCTGTCCTTGTTGCGACAGAGGAATTGAAAGAAGATGCCATGCATTTACTGCTTTTATTAAGCTTAGAATGCCACACACAAAGAAATTGAGTAATAACTTATTTTTGTATTACTTTTCCTAGCAACCAAAACTTAGATACAGTATGTCTGCAGTAGATAAAAGAAAAAAAACAAAACATAAAAAAGACCCTTGCTTTCAACTTGTCTGCTGTCATGTTTTTGATGTTATGGGTCTAGTGGGCCGTAGTTCTTTAAACTCTGCCTGCCTTGTCTGGTAAGTAAAGGTTATGACTGAATTGCTTCTTTAGTCTGTGCACAAGAAGAAGCCCAGTAAATCATGAGGGACTGCACACATAAGGGGCCTGTAAAGGTCACCACCTCAGGAGGAGACCAGAAGCCAGTCTCGTTCAAGCTCCCACTCTGGAATGCCAGAAGAACATAAGAAATGTCACAGACGAGAGCAGGCCATTGGGCTTATCTGCTTCTTCTGGTAGTTAGTCAGCTAATTGATTATCAGCTTCAACAACATTCCACAGCCCCTTGTTGTGGGAAGAAGTGCCTCCTGTTTTTGGTTTTCAAAGCACTTCTGCATAGTTTCTACTTGTGTGCTCTGAATCTCATTTTACCTTAGATTCTGATTCTTGATTCCACTGTGTTTGACTCCATCAAGGTTGTTGACTGGATAAAGACGTTGTCTCCCCATCTCCCAAAGAGCTACAGTCAGTGAGCAAGGAGCCATCTCACTGCACTAAGAGCATGTCCCTATAATCTGCATCCTCTTTTGTCTTTATGATTGGTTTTGTCTTTAATGAGTTCTGCCTCTGAAAGGGTCCTTCTATTGTTTCAGTTTTAAGTGTTCCATCCTGCCATTGCACTGAATTCTAATACTCAGATACTCATTGCTATTGCTTCATTTTTTATTGAGGAATTCCTGTTGAGATTAAGAGCTAGTAATGTAGAAGTCAATGTACTTTATAGTGCAGTATCAGATCACCCTGCTGTGATTTGGAATTCATGGTGCAGAGCAAAGCATGACCTACTGGTCTGACAGTACTGCATCTTTATTTCCACAAACTGCCCCATTGCTTAATCTATGAGATCTGAGGACACCGTGCTTTAAGATAATTATGTACAGTATATAGTTTTAAGCTTATATAGTTTATATAGTATATAGAATTTCACTCTTATCAATGACAGCCATTGTCTTTTTACTGTGCATTCAGCCTGGATTAAGTACCATATTCCTGGGTTCAGTGTAGCACGACAAAATATTTACATTTATGGAAATATTACCTTTATCATGAATTCTAATTATATTAGGCAACACCTTTATCTATAATATGAAATTAATTTACTTTTCCCCTCAGGGCGTTTTTCTTTCAGTGTTCCTAAAAACAGTTTACCCTTCCTGTTTCCTAAAATGTACTGTATTGCTTTTTGTTGCCATAAGTGCTTGCATTAACTTGTGAGTATTCACCACATTTCATGCTGCCAGTTTGGTGACAGCTGTGGTTTAGAGTGGATAAAGAGGTGATGAAATACTCATGACCATCAGTGAAATTACCTTATACAAACCTCAATCATGGCAGGAATGTATTATGAGCTGCAGCAGTAAAGCAGTTATAGAAGAGATACCTGGAGTCTAGTCTCCATGGATCTGCAAGGCTCTGTTTCATTTTGTGAACAATAAAGAAAATCAAATTAATTATTTATTGAAAGTGTCTTTAGCAGGTGATGGATTAGAGGGAGTGCTTTGTGGGACTGGATTTTTGGTAACCTTGAAGGGTATAATGTTTTGCCAGCTGACAGAGAATTTCAGCATGTGAAGCTACAATTTAGGTGTCTCGCAAGTCATACAATGCTAGCTTATGTAAGATGACCAGGGGAAGGGTCATTCATAACAGGTATTTTTGGAATGACCTACTTAATATATTCGACATAGACCTGAGCAAAATGGCTGCCAAGGAGAACCAGCTGACCCGTATATGGAAAGGGTCTACCCAGAGAAACAACGAGACACAGCTGAGCCTCAACAGGAACCAAAATATAAATGCCCCAGAGGCAGTGAACAGGCGCAGAAGCCGATAATGTGAATGCGGTTTGGAGGAGAGAAAGGAAAATAGGATTGTGTTAAAGATCGGATTAAAGAATAACGGACTATTGAAAGGAGGTACAATACGGTTTACGGTTTTCGGATTGCGGATTGTGGATTGGATACGGCGTGGATTGGTGTTATTACGGATTTTGGAACTCGGATCGGATCAAGATTAACAGAATGAATTATGGACTGGATTTGGAAGATATTTGGACGGAAGAAACGCCACGAAAATTAAGAAAGAAAAGTGTGGTGTGAGTAATTTTCTCATTTACGTTAACTTTCCCCTGGAGACACCAGACTTAGTAGTAGTACTCAATGTATTTTTAGCTCATACCTGTGTGAAGCCACACACTTGACCAGCTGAATAAGAAACTACACAAAAGACAATCAGGGCTCAATGGAGTCCAGCTCTCCGTGGAGCTGTGTGATTAACCAGGCCTCTTCCATTCTGAAACAAAGACTTCTGATGCCCTCCCCCACTGCCAAGCACTGATTACAGCAAAGCCAATGAGTGGGAGTACTGCAAGTAGGTGCATTTCCCTGGCTGTCTTCATCACTTTTCTCTTGAAGCTAAACGGCTCAGGGGCCTGTAGCAAGTTACATGAAAATGAGTTTCAGGTAGATGACCAAGTTGCTGTACATTGGAGTTAATTGTGAGCCAATCTCCAGTTGTTTCCTGGGGTTTGCCCCTGGCAGAGGGGCGGTGGGGGGTGGGGGACTGGCTTTTCTATTGTTCCCTCTAAATTGTTGTACAAGAGAGAATGTGGAGGAGGATCAACATCGACATCGGTCATAAACAATATCAGGTTTATGACAAGCAACTTGCAACTAAGCAAAGTCTCTCTCTGTGGCAGAGCAATGAATTGTGACGGATGTGTTCTCTTTTATTTTCAATGAAGGCACCCATCCGTAGAACAATACAAGAGATTATAGCCTGTAACTTTTCTTTGTTCGATCACTCTTGCCTCAGCACTCTCTGGATAGGCTGGAGATGTCAGGTTAAAACA